TCACCACATCATTTTGTAGACAAGTAAGTCAAGGAACAAAGGAACGAACGAATAAATGATTAACTGAATGATTGATCGATTGATTGAATGAATGAGTAAATAAATGAATGTATTAATCAATCAATGATTCAATAAATGAATATAATGAATTAACGAATCAATTAATGGATGAATAATTTGAAAGATTGAGTGAGAAAATAAACGAAAGGGAAAAATAAAAAACGAAACTAAACCTTACTCCTAAAATCGTCGTTACTGTACTCCATTGCATCGACCACCACCATCTGGTCGGCACACAAGATTTCATCCGAACTTCTGAGTGTCAGTCGAACAGCCAACGAGCTGATTCTTCCTACACCACCATCATCATACGTAAATCATCATGAGACCACCATCTGAAACGTGCTGACGCCCACCACTGCCCACCTCTCATCATTCTGTAGACAATTTTTTTTTATTAGCGTAGTAGTAAATGAATGTTTGAATCTTAGAAGCAAAAAAATTATTAAATGAAAATAATGGCAAATAAATGATATCTGAATATAATAAAGAGATCAAAATGTAAAAAAAACTTACCGTCGTCCATTCGACAAATGCAGAATGTTGACTGCGGTCGGGTCCTACGTTGTCCTCGGAAACTGGTGCCAGTCCACCTCGACATTGTTGTTGAAACACAGCCCGTGGAATAGAGAAAGAGAAAATTCTCATCAGAAAGCTTAGCGGTGCCTGCATCTCCAATTGCTTAATAAAAATAATCCTATCTACCTATTCAATTATCTTAACTAATCTATATTAAATTGTTAATGGTACGATAGTCGAAAGTCCCCCTTTATTCTCCCTCCTTGCATAGAGGTTTACCGACAGCCAGGGCACCGGATAGAAAACCATTGCCGTGCGGATAGTAGACTATTGCCGTGCGGATAGTAAACCATTTGCCGTCCGGAAGCCGTGCGGGTAGTAGACTATAACCATGCCGCATAGTAAATCATTACCGTGCAGATAGTAAACCATTGCCGTCCGGATAGTAAACCATTGCCGGTTCACCACTGGCCACCAAGACTTACCTCTGACAACAGACTTCGAAATTCAGAGTCTATCGGCTATCGTACCCTCAACTTACCTATTCATTAAAATTAAGCCCTAGCTTACCTAAAATTACAAAACTCAAGAGCCCAATTCATTGGCCAATCGGCACCCACTCCACCACCTACGTAATGCCTTGGGCTCCAACTTAATAATAATATAAAACTTAAACCCTAAATCTATTAATGAGTATGTTACAACGTAGCCTTAACTTACCTATTCATTACATTATGGCCCTAGCTTACCTAAAATTACAAAACTCAAGAGCCCAATTCATTGGCCTTTCGGCACCCACCCCACCACCTACGTAATGCCTTGGGCTCCACCTAATAATAATAATGTAAAACTTAATAATTAACCTACCTATTGATACACTTACAGCGTTTTAATTTACATTACAAGATTGCTCCTAGAATTACATTATTGCCCTTGACTACCTATGAAATTAAATTACTCTCAACCTTAGTAATAATAAATAAGAATGTGTAATGAAAATAAAATTACGCTCAAATACTAATATATGTGTTTATGTATGTATTTGTGTGTGTGTGTGTGTAATACGTTGATGCGTGTAATGTGGGTGCAAGAAAAAAATAGAAGCGATAAACTTACGCGCCTACCTATTCAACTACATTAGTGTTGGATGCTTCCTATCTATCCTACCTACAATTAAAATTATGCCTATCTAACCTACCTATATAGCTACTCAATGTAATTGTGTGAGTGTGTGTGCGTGTGAGCATTCTTACTTAATGTTAAATTACAGAGAAAACAGGAGAAAAAAGAATAAAACGTATCCCAGCCAGACGTGTATTCTTTGCCACTGAATGAATGAACGTAGCCTGACTTCTTGCATGATGAACTCCTCTGTAAGCTTCAACCCGAATGGAATGAATAAAATGAAAAAACCTTATTTGTTTAATTAATTTAAATAAAAATAGAGAAACGAGCCGCGCTGAAACCCACCAGCCGGAAAAGACAGCCAACTGGCAAAAAAAGGAACCGCAAAAAACTGTAAAACGATCCCCAGCCAGGAGTGCATCACAACCATTCTGATCTCCCACGATGAACTCCTCTGGAAGCTTCAACCTGAATGAATGAACCTGAATGAAGCTAAATGAATGGAAACATCTTATTTATTTAATTAATTTAATTGAAAATAGAAAAACGCAAAAAAGCCGACCGGTCGGCAAAGAAAAGAACCTCAAAGAAAGGAATCTATATAGGATTTATGCTCTATAACTCTATATAACTCTATATAACTCTATATAACTCTATATAACTCTATATAACTCTATATAACTCTATATAACTCTATATAACTCTATATAACTCTATATAACTCTATATAACTCTATATAACTCTATATAACTCTATATAACTCTATATAACTCTATATAACTCTATATAACCATGCATACTATCACATTCAATCAATAAAAATCTCAATAAAACCAGGAACCACCGCGTACCTGTTATATGTATTGTGTGAAACAAAACAAACAAACAAAAACACAAAACAAAATACACACCACCAAGTAGAGTAAAAGAAATGAAGTCCCTAACTTACCTATGTAACTAAATTACCTTATGCCCTAGCCTAGCTATATAATAAATTAATTTTTAATCTCATCTACCTATGTTTCATTAACTTAACTTAAGACTCATGAAGAAAAAAAGGAGTAAAAAAACATAAAATACTACCACACAAACAAACATGATGTATGAATGTATGTATGTATGAGCAACCGCTAAAGAACCCACCTAAAATATAAAAAAAATACAACATACAAACACACAAACCGCAGATATGTAAACTCTATATAACTCTATATAATAAAATAAATAAAAATAAAAAAAATTATAAAAATAAAATAAATGAGATCAGGCAGACTGCTTCAAGCGAGGCAGAATGCCTGATCTGATTTTCATGTTGTCTCAGCTCCTATTTATACTCGTTTCAGCCATACATTTTCATCATTCCAATCATTCACATCAGTAAAAAACTTATTTGAAATATGTACTACACTATTATGCAGTCTTAACCTCAATGCTAACCGTACTAAATAGACGTCATCGAACGAACGCCTTCAAAACTTTCTGATTGGCCGGTTGAATCTGCTATATTGCTTTTTATATAAACATATAATCTTATTAATTATTTGTATACATAGATTCTAGTCACTTGATATATATATATATATATATATATATATATATATATATATAATATAGATTCATTATAAAAGCAACAGTAATCAGTGCTACACATGTACGCCGTAGTTCAAATTTTTCGGAAAGAATTCAAAATAGTTTGAGACCACACCTTACTTAACATCCGATTCCAAGCCGAGCCGAGCCAAGCTGAGCCAATATGCATAGATTTATAAGCGCTTTTATATTAAAATTTTGCTCTCTTTATGTACGAATATCCCAATATAACTATTTCTCCATCCTATTTAAAAAATTTTCCTTGATGTTTTTTAATCAGTCAGGTCACAATCATCATCATCGATATCGCGATGAAATCAAATTGAAATTTTTTTTTTAATTTTTGATAAAAGTTTTAATATATATATATATATATATATATATATATATATATATATAGTAAAAAGTTTAAATTTCTCTGAGAGAATTCAAAATAATTTGAGACTACAACATAACACAATTGTACAATTTGAATGTGTAAATAAAACATTATAAATGTATTATAATTACGTATATATATCTATCCATCTATTTCTTTATTTAGTTCTGCCTGCGTTTGATATTTGGTCATATTTGGAATTGAATATAACCTTTATACCGACTGATTAACTACCATGCAGTAAAATAACTACTGTTAACATGACGTCATTTCCTCCAACGATTTCGCAACGAATTACCTATCCTATTTAATAAATTTTATTTGACGTTTTTTAATTAGTCAGGTCACAATCATCATCATCATCACAATGAAATCAAATTAGGAATTTTTTAAATTTTTGAAAAAAGTATCTTTATTCATTTTTTGATATTACTTTGTTCAATAAGACACTGTTTGATACATATAACTAGAATAAATTTAACAGCCTTCGCTCACTTTCAACGGTCGAACAAGGAGCTTACTTCCGGAGGGGAGTAGAAGGGTGATTTTTTATCGTTTGAGTCAAAAGCAAGGGGAGGCCTATTTACCAATATACAACACTTTCTTATGGGTTGAAGCAGGGATATGCAAAAAACCTCAATTTTTTCAACTTTTCATTATTTTAGGTAATGTCGATTTTTTTTAATTTATATCAAATACCTATTCCGAAATTAGTAAATATACGATCGTTAATTTTGACTCGAACGATAACCAATCACCCTCCAACTCCCCTACGGAAGTAAGCTCCTTGTTAGAACGTTAAAAGTGAGCAAAGGCCGTTATATTTATTCTAGTTTCATGGTCAAAAGTTACGATCGTATATTTACTAATTATGGAATATTGCTTTTACTTAAAATGTTAAAATTTTAAATTTTTTTATTGTTATTCAATTTGGTAATTAATTACTTTTATTTAGTATAAATTTAAAAACATAAAATCAACATTACCAAAAATAATGGGGAAAATAATTAAAAGTTGAAAAAATTGAGATTCTTTGCATATCCCTGCTTCAACCCATAAGAGAGTGTTGTATATTGGTTGATAGGCCTCCCCTTGGAAATGACCATGAAGTTTTCATGGAAATCACCTATAACATTAATAAATGATAAAAAAGATAAAAAAAATATGAACTGTACTGAATATAAACAGATTTTTATTTTTAAAACACTGCTTTTTGACTAAAAAAAAACAAAATTTTAAAAGATTGAAAAAACTACTGAATTAAAATTTATTGAAAATATTATTTGATTGTAAATTATCAAACATTAAAAATTGTTTTAATGTCATTTATTTGTATGGAAAAGTCCACTTCAGTATCGCTCCATCACAACTTGTGCTGAAAATGTTTTTCTGATCAGGGGAAATTTTTAGAGCAGTTATGGCGGCACTGTGCCCCACACCGATATGAGTCATCTCTCCTTCATCATACAACCAAATCTAAAATATATTACTTGAGCAATTATTGTAGAAGGACTAATGTGGCCAGAAAATTACAAGCAACCAACCTTAAGCATCCTATCATCTCCTCCGGTGACGAAATATTTTCCATCATGAGAGACATCAACGCAATTAATGGCACCCGTGTTGGAACCTTCCAGCAAACGAATCAAAGAGCCATCAAACGTCTCCCAGTAACTAATGTTACGATCCGTCCCTACGGTGAGGATCTGATGTTCCAGCGGATGGTAGCAAAGATATTTGAAGAGCGTGTTCACTCTGATCATCTGCCTCCTGCTGTTGAATCTTCAACAGTTTGGCAACTTTTATTTTATTATCCAAATAAACAAAAATAATGATATATCCTTGTGCCCGTTATTAATATATCGTACAATATTTTTTAATTGACTACAGAATATTAATTTTGTTTAATAAATGGCAAAGTTTATCTTCAAAAAAATTTGTTATAAACTTGCGTCTACAGCCCTATACAAACCTAACATAATTGATGGCCTATATTTGAAGAACAAATATAAAAGATATAAATAAACCTAAGGTTCCAAAAAATGCAGGAGCCATCGAGACTGGATGTGATGCACTCGGAATCATCGTCCTTCATCTGGATGCATGTAACAGCAGCCTTGTGCTCCTTCAATAATGTGTGCTTGAACACGTATATCGGCTCTTTTAAATTCGTTTTCAAGTTCGGAACCTGGTCGAGGAATTTTACAAGCAATAAGGCGCTAATCCAGATTGCAAAATTATCAGCTCCTCAAAAAGTTAGAAATTAATGAACCAACCTCCCACAGAACGACGTGACCCAAATTACTTCCGCTGATGATATGTGACCCACTTTTGAAGACGGCCAATGAGGTGACAGTGCCCCCGTACGCGTGATCCATCGTGTACATCAGTTTGCCAGATTCTGGGTAGTAAGCTCTGATGCAGCCATCATCCCAACCTTCGCATGAAAATAAATAAATGATTAGAGTGCAGATGTGTTACGTCATAATTCCTGCTCCAACCGAAGTAGCAACGTAACCAAACGCGCGGCCTGCAATGAGCACCATCAAAGAAATCGACCACCAACTGATACAAACACAGACAAACAAAAAATTAAAAAAGCTGGAAGACTGCACATATAAATGTAACTAAATTACAACGCAGACGATAGATGCCTCGAAGGAAAGTTCTTTCAGTGTAAATGAATATGTCATGGTGAGCTGCTCACACGCAAACATCTGTACGATGATACACAAATGTTCACACCCATACACACTTGTATATGAGGGAATACTATAATACATACACATAAAATATGAACAATTATGCATATTAGGAATGCAAAACATCCACGTATCATTCTTAAAACATAGTCGTTAGCATTGATGTTTTAAGAAAGATGAAGTCGAACTCTCAAAATTCCCCAAAAAATGTACAAAGTTTCAAGTTGCTCTCTCTCTCTCTTCCTATTCAAATTTGTTAAGCCCAAACAAATAAATTTGTCAAATTAGACTAATGTTTTTATTTTCATGATTATTTTTATTGTTAAATGATTTAATCATTCGAAAGTTTCCCAAATATTTGTTGATACCATTTTAAATGTTTGACCAGCGTTAACGAGTTACGACGAGTCAGGTAGTTAAGCGTCGGAGAAACGTCGACGCATTGTTTCAACTGCCGTCATGGGAGCGATGCTGCATGCCTGTGATGCCATCAGGAACGACGCTGCACTCTATGCACGTATCAACTCTGCTGCATGCATACCCATACATGTATGTAAATGCGCATTAATGAACGTACCACTTATAATACTTTTTCCATCTCTCATAACGGCAACAACGTTGCAGATTTTGTTCGGAAGACTTATCCTCATTAGTTCCTGTCCGTTTTTCGTGTTCCACAATCTTATGTCTTGCATCGAACTCGTTATGAGGAGCTTCCAACTGCCACTGATTTGAAGAATGACAATCTATTAATCGATCGATCAATGAAATAATCGCTCATTCAATCAATCAGTCAGTCAGCCATTTGATCAATCAATCAAATCATCCAACCAACTATGGAAAGCAAAGATTGTTGATAGATGTGTAGTGACTCGTTTTCATTAACTCGAATTCAAAAGTTGAGAGGTTGAATTTGAAAATGCTGCTGTCAGCTGTTCCTACATAGAACTAAAATCGTCAAACACTTTGAAGTTGAATTGAAGATCTTTGTTAAAATGTTTAAAATCTAACTGCTTAGCAAACTTTCAAAAAATATTTTCAGGCTAATAGCCCTGAACGAATGAATATGCGCAAAAAATAAATTTAAATAGCGAGAATAATGGTCTACAAATAGTGGGAGATGGGAACAGCACGGTTTCCGTGTGGTGGTGGTGCAGATGAAGAGGCTGATAAAATAACAATATAATAATAATAATATTAATGATGATGATGCTAATGTTGATGCTGATGATGATGACGATGGTCATAATGATGATGGTCATGATGATGATGACGGTGGCACCTGATTTTTGTTAAGAGATATGGAAGTGACGCCCCCCTGTATCTTCTTAACATTCCTAAACAATGTGATCATGTAGGATGATGATCAAACTTGGGTGATTATGTAGGATGATGATCAAACTTGGGTGATCATGTAGGATGATGATCAAACTTGGGTGATTATGTAGGATGTTGATCAAACTTGGGTGATCATGTAGGATGATGATCAAACTTGGGTGATCATAACTATAATGATATCATTTTTACGTTTGTCTGTTTTTTAATCATTCATCCATTCATTCACGCATTCATTCTTTTGTCCATTCTATTATTTCTTTTTTTCTACAAACCAAAAAGTCGGCGAGCAGCACAATCAACTAACTCCACAGACAGATAAAAAAAAAACCAAGAGCCCTCAAACCAAACAAACTAAACAACATCAACAACACATAATCATGTAACTTACTTTGTCCTTTTAAATTTTTCCTCAAAACTCTTCAACAGTAGCACATCACCATTTCCTGAACCGACAATCACGTGACCATCTTTCATCAAAAAAAGTGACGTCACGCCTAATTGAAATCTTTCTTTTTCATTGCTGAGAAGTTGAAAGTTTTTGGTGGCCATGTTGATCATCATGACGTCACCAGTTGTCGTGCCGCACACGAAGTAGGAGTCATCGTGCGAGACCTACTTAGCCGTGTTTAATATTATTGCTAATAATTTAACATTATTAATAATATAATTATTAATTATTACTGTGATGTACTGTATGTCATATGAACGTTTGTGTGAAAATTTCAGAATTATGCAACACGTCTAGTTCAATTCTATTTCTTTATTGAAATATTTCTTCATGAATATTTAGATTGAAATAAATTTAGTCTAAAAAATAAGTTTAAATGTTGTGAAATTGTAGATAGAAATGAAAGAAAATTGACTTTGAAAGTAACCAAATTTGAAATTAAGTTGAAATAAATTGAAACGTGAAAATGTAAAGTCTGAAATTTCTTGAAGCTTTTTGTGAGGAAGCGAAAAAAGAATAATGATTTCATGATAAATTGGAACAAAATTTGATGAGGGTCTGCTATGAAAACCTGAAGACATTTAACAAATCTTTTGTTTTGTCCAACTGAAACGTTCACAGGAGCGAGCTTAAATGTCTTTTCATCCAAACTCCAGACTCTCAATGTTTCACTGGGCGCCCAATTGAAAAGATAGGATCAAAAAAATAATGAAAAATTGTTCAACGGTGAATGAAAAAATTTTTTTTACTTGAATACAATTAATATTTCTTTTTGTTAAACCGAGTTTAACATCGTCAACGTGAAGTTTCGTATCGTTTTGACCGATGCACCACACTCTCATCACACTTCTGTCGCAGTGGTGGTTGGTGGTGGTCACTGTTTATCATCATCTCAACCAAATTTTCTACATTAGCAGCGCATACAACGTATAAAAAATTATCTTTAATATTTTTACATGGAAACTTGCCACACGCAGTTCAATTGTAACAAAACAACATCTACTTGTATGTGATTTCATACAAACCGATAACAATAATAATATAATAAAGAATATAAAAATTAGTGCAGACAATCGCGCACACACACACATACACGCACGCACGCACGTACGCCACACACGCGAACCTTCCAGCCGTTATAAAGACATTATCTTGTGTATTGCTGAATGTTAGGACATGTGTCAGACCGGCACTGATGGACTGCGCTGGTGAGCCGCATATGGCCTCCTTCTTTGCTATGTTCCACACCACTAGACTTCATTCAAATGTCGTTTTCATGTTGTTATGAATAAATACTGTAATCATTTTCAGTGTGAAAGCATGCGCAGAGTCGCCACCATGCGATGACGCCTGACGTATCATGTTGATTTTATATACAGATTCATAAAATAATCAAGCAGCAATAACTAAATTAAAAGTTAAGTGAAATGAAAATTCAAAACAGAGGTACCTCCCATCATCTGGACCTCCCAAAGACACTAAATATTTATCGTTAGCCGAAAATGCAACAGCCTGGACTGCGTTCCTGTGAAGACTCAACTTGCAATATTCCCTTCTATCTCCGAAACTCCATATTATCGTTTCTGCCTGCCAATCAGAAGTTTGCAACATTTATCAATTGATAGCTCATTGATCATATATAATAAATAAAAATTGACATAAATGTTCCCGGGTCAGCATTCTAATCAAATGCTTCATCTCAATACCTATGCCTTCATCTCAGTACCTACGCGTATTTCGATAGACTAATTCAGTTCAAAAGTTTGAAAATTATACGTTGAATTTAAAGAAATTTATTATATATAATTTCAAAATTACGGCCCACTTGCACCTTGAATCCAGCGTGGGTGAGTTGACCGGATGCGATGAACTTTCCAGATTTGGAGAGAGCCAGGCAGGTGACGTTGTTGCTGTGCCCGGAGAGGAATTCTTGGGTCTTCTTGTTTGTATCTTCGATCGTTATCGTGCAACCGACTGAATAAAGGAGGTGACATCCGTCTGGATGACTTATCAAACCGCAACTTATCGAACCTTTAAGGAGTTACATTTTAACTTGTTTATGTTGTCAACTTTAGAGTTGAATAATGGGCGATTGTGGACATTTCTTAATTATTCAAATTTCTAGTGCACATTTCAGAATCAAATTTGCTAAATTCACGTTTCATAAAAAGTAGCAAAGATGAAAGATAATAAAAAACACATATACACACACACATACATATGCACACATGCACGCAAAAGCACAGACCTTCAAATCCAATCATGTACTCCAACTTTAACATAGACTTCTCTAACTCGTTTTCGCACATGTTTTATATTTAATAATATTTAGCAAATAAAAATTTTTAGCACTTTTAATAATTTCACTAAAAATAAAACAAATGCCAATAATCTGTCAAATTTTATTTTACGTTGAAACCTAACTTAAATCGGCTTCAGTTAAGATCTTGGCTCTAATTAATTACGAGTTACCTTGATTGTTCAATGATTGTGATTGGCGTCACCATGACGACCAGGTGTTTTTAAAAGAACCTACTAAGTAAAACGCGTAACATCAATAAAAAAGTGGTATATTTCAATTTCAGGTTTGCAAATATAAAAACTTAAAAAAGATGAGAATACAAAAAAAATATAAGAAAAAAAAACCGCATAACAGCATACACACCCCAAATACAGCACTATGTGACGTAATTAACTTTTGATGTGAATAAAAAAAAATCTTACCACACATACATACACACATAACACACACACACACACGTATTCTGATATAATCTGAAGAAATAAGAATGATGATCTGCTAAGGTCAAACAAGTCCTTGTGGTTCTCCTATCAACCCAACAATCTGTGAATCAATTGTTAAGTGATTAATCGAATGACTGACTAACTGATTGATTGATTGATTGATTGATTGATTGATTCAATGAATGATTGATTGAATCATTGAGTTACTGACTGATAACGTTGTTTGACGAGGTTTTAAGATTAAATACAAATAAAAATGAAAATAAACAGCAAAAATTAGCAAATACTTAAACAAATAAAAAAGAATGTTGAGAGCACTAACATAGCTAATTCCAGGAAAGTTGAGAAACATGCTGATGATAGGAACCCTTCGCAGAAAGTTTACAGCTATAGGCAGGAAGCCACTGCAAGTGTTAATTTTTAAAATTTTGTGCTGACATTGTATTGATGTTGTTGTGTATGTCTTGTTTCTGTCGATATTATTACAGTTTGCGATGCAAATGATGAATTATTTAGTCAAAAATGAGACATTAACTATGCAGTAAACAACATTGAAATATGTGGAATGTTAACCCAAACAATAAGATGAAACCATAAAGTTCCACTACTATTCCAACAAAAGGCCATCCGATTAGGACAATTATTATGCCCCCGAGAAAAAATGAGGTTGCCTTCATTTTATGTGATTGGAAGAAAAACCTGAAAACTCTTTCAACACCTACTACCAATGTCAGGCCGGATATAAAAAGCACCTGGGATCAAATAAATTGAATAAGCAAACAATATTTAAAAATTTAAGATGGTCATGTCATACTATTTTGAAAATGAATAAAAAGGCAAAAAATATAAAACACAAATATAAAACATGCTAAAAATTAATTAATTAATGATTAATTAATTATTTATCAATTTAATTTTATTAATTCTACATTTTTTTGAAATTATAAATTAAAATTAAATTGTCAGATGGACAAAAAATGTGAAGCTCACATACATTGCCTATTGCTAGAAGACCTCTGTCAAAGAATAATAAAATGCCGAGAAATATGAACGAGAAGCCGAAGCCTGCCAGACCAATTCCTATTTCTGATTTAAAAATTATAAATAAAAATATGTAATGTGCCTTCATTTAATTAAGTTAAAATTAACTAAAATTATTATTTATTATTTGAAATTTAAATTAAAATTTTTACATTTTATTTTTGAAGCATTATGATTATTCATTATTAAGATTATTATAATAAAAAAACTTTCAAACAAACTTTGTAGATCTGTAATTTGAGGCATTTTAGAAAATTATTGAAAACTAAAAAATTGAAAAGTTCGTTTTAAATTATTTTGAGGAAAGCACAATCCTAAATTAATTTCTTTCAAAAACTTAATTTACGATTAAAAACTAAAAGTAAATTTCTAGGATTAACTACTTTTAAACTTTAAACAGTGATGTAATAGTAAAAATTATAAATAATTAAATTGATGCATATTTAAAAAGCGAGTCATAAAAATGAACACGTTGGCACTTCATGTTACATTAATTTACAATAAGATACATACAAGAAAGTCATCTAATAAATATTCATGATGCGTTCGTGTCTGGCAGTTTGTGGAGAGCTGTTATGTTACGGGTGGAAAAATACATATGTGTGTATTTATTCATATCAACCTCTATATATTTGCATACATTCTGTAAATAGTTGTATGTGAGAGTATGTATGAATGAAGAAGTGTTAATATCTAGGTATCGTACATACGGCATACACTTGTGTATAATTACATCTACATATATATGCATGGGGTATAAGTGCATGCATATATATGTATATGTGAATGAACAAAGATGCTAGTATGTTCTCAAATCCTGATCAGCAGTTGGCGTACAAAAGTTTTGAGGCGATAGTTTCATATTCTTCACCATCAACAACAGGCAGAACAACATTGGTCTGACGTGACGTGTTTAAAACAAAAGGTTTCTGATCATTTCGGAACATCATTTTTTAACGAAATTATGCTGTTACAAAATTACGCTACTGTGAAGTTATATTTATATATTGATATATTCATTGGAATAATATATTTGTAAATGTTACGTTTTAAAAGTTGTAGGCTGCGTGTGGACCAGGCTTGTCTTCAAATCTATGATGATAATCTTCATATTTTTGTTAGTGACTTCCACGTTGGTCAGATCTTCCGTCATTCCACAGGATGTGAGGTCGAGAGTGATTGATTTGGTACGTTTGCTCGTTATTTTGCATAACAATCAAACTAATTTTAAACATTAAATCAAGTTTTTGTTTCAACGAATAATTTATTTGTAACATCAACATCGATACATCAAGCAGCCGCCTCCATTGAACGAGGACAGACAAGAATATGACCACGAAGCTTTCCTTGGTAAGGACCAAGTTAAACATTTTGATCACCTGACACCTGAAGAAAGTAAAAAAAGATTGGGGTAGAGTTCGTTTTAAATAAACGTTTTTATTTTTAAAGTTTAAAATATCGATGTCAGTTTACTGAACTTAAAATTCGAGGCATCAGTCGAGCGTTACATTTTTTTATTTCGATTTTTTTTTACTTTTTAAAAGGATCATATTTGAAAAGATAGACAACGATGCAAACGGCAAATTAACTGAGAAAGAGTTGCATGACTGGATTGAATACGTCCAACTGAGATTTATCAGAAAGAACGTTGAAGAGCAATGGTCGACCTTCAAAGGCGGCGAACATGGGACCATCAGATGGGGACAGTATAAAGAAAAAGTTTATGGACAGCTAGAAGGTTGTCGGCAATTTTTAAATATCCTTGATTAATTTGTTTTCTTAAAAAATGTCATAATTTATTCACTGACACTTTTATACTGCAAAAAGGAAAGTAAAATTATGTGAATGTTAATGTAATTCTCAAACTATCGTTACAACTTGAGAGCAGACGAGGAAGATGAGAGACCAAACTTCAGGTTCGGACCTCAGATGAAGAGAGATTTGCGCAGGTGGCAGCAGGCGGACAGGGACAAGAACGGCCACCTGAGCATCGATGAGTTCACCGACTTCCTACATCCAGAGGAAGCCAACCACATGAAGGAACTCGTCGTTCAGGTTAAAATTGAAGAAACTGAGGTGTTAAACTTGATAAAACTATAAAACCATGCAGATCAATGCAGATCAAGATGATTTTGGATCAATGTGACATTATTATTGACCTGTTCACAGCTAAGCTAAGCTGTTCTACACACAGATATATTCATGAAAACATTTGTTTATTAAATAATGTTTAAACTAAATTCTCAATAGGAAACTATTGAAGACATTGATAAAGATAACGACGGCAAGATAAGCATTGAAGAATATATAAGTAAGCTAATGATTTGTGTGCGCGGCGCGTGTTTATTTGTGTGCGCAATAGGTTTTATGACAGTTTTTGATAGTTATAAATGATTTTGTGATCTGGATGTTTTTTAGATTATCAATTTGGTTATTTATCTTTCCAAATACCAAATTATTTTTTGCAATTTCGATTGAACAGAGGACTTGTGGTCGCAAGATGGACAGGAACCTGATTGGCTGGCCGGAGAAAGAGAAGTGTTTAGGGAAGTAAGGGACAAGAACAAAGATGGCTTCTTGGATAATGAAGAAGTTAAAATTTGGATCCTTCCAGAGCAGTATGATCACATCATGGCTGAAACTAAACACCTCATGTTCGCATCCGACGAAGACAGGGTTAGAGTAATTACATACAACTTGCTACTTTCAGAATCTTCTTTCTTGCTGTTAGATACCATTTCAATCAATCAATCAATCAATCAATCAATCAATCAATCAATCAATCAATCAGTTGATCAATCATTAAAATGCATTTTGTTTAACATGTATAAATGTGTACTAATCCGAATAGTGTAGTCAAACAAAGTGGTGATTCAACAATCTTCATAGCTAGCATTTATTTGAAACTTTTAAAAAACAATTCTAAATCCAAAAACGCTTTATAAGAACTTCGCTCAATACGGAAAGAAGGAAAACTTACTTTTGATATTTAAAAAAATTTCAATTAAGTTTTTACTAATTTTATTAGATGAAATAACACCAATAATAATAATAATGCTAATAACAGTATGAATAATAAAATAATAAAAATTCAGGACGGGGTGTTATCAAAAGAGGAAGTTCTGCTTAATTTCGAGGTGTTCGTCGGCTCACAGGCCACAGATTTTGGCGACGCTATTGATAACCACGATGAATTCTAATGAATTGTGACGAATTTGGGAATTATGATGATTTGTAGTGAATAATGATGAATTTTGATGAATTATCTGGAACTCAGATGCATGGATTGATAAATTTACAAACTTTAATCTTAAAACTAATTCCTATAAACAGTTAAATAATAAAATTTGATCAACAACTGATGAATTGAAAAACATAGCGTAAAATGATAATAAAATGCATAACAACACTAAAAATTTTCTTTCAATGAAGCAAGTGTTTCATGATTAAATAATATTTCAAAATTTGTTACTCCAAGGTGAATCATTATACTTCGAGACCAGAATCTCGTTGAAAAAATAATTAATCTTCAATATTATTTAGGTATTCTAAATAAAGTTTATGACGCTATCAATTAGATCAAATTTTCTATCAACCCAAGAATGAATATAAGGCAGAAGATTGATCCTTACCGCTACCTATAAAATATTTAATATAGAACAATTTTTAAAATTTGCACAATCTAAATTATTTCCTAAGTATTTATCAGATATATTAATTGAACCCAAACGCCCCAGTTTACGATCGTCTTCTTGTTCTCACTTTTTCTTATCTCGGGTTAAACACTCTTTTGCTATATCTGCTTTTGCTTTTTCTAGCCCTTTTCTCTGAAACTCTCTACCTACTTCTCTGACTACTTCTCCATCACTTACGAAGTTCAGAGCGGACCTCAAGACCCATCTGTTTGCAAATTTCATTAAGGAGCGCTGTTAAATATCACGGAAATAGCGCTTTACAAATTAACTAATTGATTGATGAAATAAATTGTTATTTCGAAGAACTGTTACAAACTTGTGGGAAATAGTTTTTCATATACTTTCGTTACTGTCATTACTTGTTTGTTACTGAAATTCAGTTCCTACATCAGAAATTGAAACCGATTAAACAGCTTAGAATAGGTTAGAAATCACTGATTACATCAAACACAAACATACTTATAAGAGGAGAAACGCACGCATATGCTGCATACATAATCAAACACGCATATAAAAAAAATAACATGATATACATATTTCAAAGCACATTCAGTTGCACGCCTATCAAATACTATTACAGCCCCGATAAAGGTTATTTAAATTCTGATAACAAAATAATAAGTACAACAACCATCGTCATCTTCATCAACTTCACTTTCATATTTGTTATGACGAATGCCAAACCCGCCAAACAATTATATTACTATCAATTTATTTCATTTCGTACATATTTTATTATGCGCTTGTTTGTCTTCGGTGCATGTACATATTATACATATATATATATATATATATCATATATATATATATATATATATCATTTATATATATATATATATCTGTGTTTGTGTGTGTGTACGTGCGTGCGAGAGAATTACAAGGTTAATAGAAGGTTTGTGGTACAGTTCAGAGGTAGAGAGAAAGAAAATAAGAGAGAGGTTTTTAATTTGTACAATACATTTCTAACATCTTTTAATTTTAAATTGAATTTATTTTTTCAACTGTCAGCTTGTTTCGCTGTTAGGTTGATACTTCAACGAGGAATCAATCACTGTTAAGGATAAGAGACGACTCAGCGAACAAACCAAAGAGACAATGCGTGAGATCCTTGTAACACAAAATATACGAGCTAATATTTTAAAAACAATCAATCGATATTTAAACTTAGTGTTATTAAAACTAATTGATACGGTCTGTCTGGAGAAAAATCAAGAGCCATATATACATACATTATAAATATACAGTTAATAAATAGAACCTATAAATGCCTTTTATTACATACAAATGCATGTGCAAATGCAAAAATGAATATACGTAAATAAATGCATAAAATAATAAATAAAAATCAAGATAGAAAAAGAATAAAACAAACACATAACGAAGTATAAACTAACATGGCTGTACAAATCATAAACACAAGTCTACAAGCTTCATAGTAAAAATTCGATATAGGATAATAACAAAACAATTATTTAAAAATTTAAAAGCAGCTTTTTCATTGGTTGAACTTGATAACCAATCATGTTTAGGTGTTGGAGGAGTGGTCGTATGATGACGATGTTGATTTTGATGTTGTTGTTGCTGCTGATAGGGTGGATACCTTTGTACATTCTTCTTCTTCCCTGTTTAAAATTTTTTTAAGAAGTATTGAGATATAAGTAATATATATATATATTAATTTGTAATGGATTTGATATACTGGTTTTGACGGAAACTTGGCATGGGTTAGTTGGAAACATTTTTGTCAGTTTAGCTATGACAGTGAGGTATCGGAGTGTTGATTTTGTTAGGCAGCATGATCCAGGCCATAGTGGTTTGGTAGTACATTTTCGTAAAGAATTCAAGTTTAAAAAATTAATTCTTCCACCACCCACTACATTTGAAGCAGTTGCTATCAGATTATCCGTCAACGAGAGTATATTTATTTTGATTGCAATATATCGACCAGGTTCAGCAAAGTTATTCGTTTCATTTTAGCAAGAACTAGTTTCAATTTTAGAATATGCTACTATTTTAAATTCAAATATTTTACCTATGGGCGATTTCAATGTAGGTACATGTTGAAAAGACAGAAGATCAGCATTCCATCTGATTAAATGAAATATTTGACACATTACAGTTCATCAATAAAATTGATGAACTAACACATGCATGTCCTTGGTGGCATTCTGGATTTATTGTCAGTTCTGATGATTTTCCTGTTACCAACATGAAATTATTTCTTAGCGGATTGGTACCTGATCCCAGTCTCATAACATGCGTAGTCTTCCCAATATAAAAAAAAAGGCCAACTGTGATGGTAATGATGTCGCAAACTACCGACCGAAATCGAATCTTCAGTTCATCTCAAAAATCATGGAACGTGTTGTTCTCAAGATTCTACTAAACCATTTGACAGAAAACAATCTAATGCCTTTCCATCCATCAGGTTACAGGCGGTTCATTCAACAGAAACTGCACTACTGCATGTCCTATCAAATTTGTTTACTGCCACACACGTTCAGAACATATCATTACTATCGTTTCTGGGCATGTCAGCGGCGTTTGATTGCGTCAACTATGATGTTTTTTGACAAAGTTGCGTCATACTTATGGCCTAGCAGATAATGCACATAAATGTTTCAGATCGTACCTATCAAATCGCACACATTTAAAAATTCACTATCTGAAATTTCAATTACTGCATCAGGGGCACCTTAAGGTTCAGCTTTGGGACCAGTCCTCTTTTTGTTGTACACCTCAAACATTACCAAAATAATCAGCTCTTGTGGTTTCGTCTGTCATTGACAGTTTCATCGGGTCTTCATCAGAAGTGGGTCGTTGGAAAACTCGGTTGCTTCCAATTGAAACATGATAGCAGTTGTCGAAGATTAATTTCAGCTCAGTTAAAATAGGAGATGTTGATATATCATTTATCAATACAGCTTCCAAATTAGGTGTTCTGCTGGATAGCAAATTGTCGATAAAGGACCTCGTCAAAAAGATTTGTGCCTCGAGTGTTATCTACATCATCGAATCAGGCAATCACTAGATTGATCAACATTGGAAACGCTGGCCCATGCCTTCACTACGTATCGTTTAGAGTATTGCAACAATTTGTTTTATAAACTACCAGACAAATCAATAACAATCCTTTAGTCAGTATAAAACAGAGCTGTGAAACATGTATTTGGTGGCCTAAGATTTGATCATGTGACACCGACCTTGAACGAGTTTCACAGGCTGATGATAAATAAAAGAATAAAGAATAGAATTGTGACTTTTTTAATTTTTGTTTTTCATATATAGTCACCACGTACATTTTGTTTTCTGATGTGAGCGCTTATGGAAGTTTTAATTAATAATGAGACGTACAAACGTGAGAAACAGTTGAAATACATGACACGTATGTGGAGACAAACACGAGACATAGAAATATAAATACACACATGAGACATACAACTGTTAGACATACACACATGAGACATACAACTGTTAGACATACAGACATGAGACGTACAACTGTGAGACATACACACATGAGACATACAACTGTTAGACATACAGACATGAGACGTACAACTGTGAGACATACACACATGAGACGTACAACTGTGAGACATACACACATGAGGCATAGATATGGCGTGACTCAAAATTTTTTTCATTGCATCTATTAAACGCATGATGAAGCAAGATTGCAGAGAGTGACTGACACTTAAATAAGAAGCCGGCAAATTCAATACAGAAGGCTTTTAAACTGAAAGCCTGCCGGATAATCAAATTGATTTGATTTGAATTAGGCTGGTTAGTACTGGAGCTGAAGTGCTTTCATAGAAAATATCTCACATCTTCTATCATCTCATTTTTTATTTTTCCATGTTGTGTTTCATCATTTCAAGCCATCTTACATCATTTCATCTATATTATCAGAGCACATCATCCCTATCCTATCGTACCATCTATATACACTCATTCCGTATCGTGTCTTTTCTATTATGTCAAAATCGCATGCTCATCAAATTTTTCCTTAGTTTGATTTAGTTCAGCAAATAAAAAGTAGTCAGTTGACATTTATGGCTATAAACATCATCCTTGCGATCGTTTTTAACATCATTTAATCGTCACATCCATCATTTTATCCTCCTCACCCCATCATCTCATTTCTTATAACTTCATCATAGCTTCAGTATTATCGCCATCACATTCACCATCAACATCATCAATACAAACATTACCTAAAAACGTCTTGTTGCTGTTGTTGGTCCGGTGAATATATTGTTGATGTTGTTGTTGTTGATGTTGCTGTTGATGATGTTTTGAAGACTTGCTATTGTTGTGGTTGTCACTGAAGTTGTTGAATAATTTGAATTTGGGCTGTTGATGTTGTTGATGCACTTGCCGATAACGATAATAAGGAGATGGAGAATAGGGTTGACGAGTTTGTTTCTGGTGATGGTCTGTTTTTTGTTTCAGGTTAGTTTTATTGAACTATTAACTTTTTATAAGTGCTACTTCATTCTAATTTATTTAGTTTGAACTATTTAAAATAAAAATACTAAAATAACAATTGAATTACTTTGAGCAAAATAGAAAAAATGAGGTGCTGGTAGAGAACAATCAACGTGTTGAAGCAATGTAAAAGTGCTTTGATGGGCAGATGATCGTTCAATTTTATAAATTAAAATCTCTACTCCACACAGATTTTTACAAATATTCTTTTAAAGTAATTGAACAAATTATTTATTTTAAAGGATATTTATATTAGACTGACCATTTTATATAAATGCTTCAATTTTATAACTTTCTGAAGCAATTATGATAATTAAAATAATGTATAAAGACCAGTGTGAAATTTTATGAAAGATTCATTTTTCACATCAGAAACTTTCTAGCTGGCTTGAGCTTGGCACGTATTTATTCTCTCAATTCAATCGAACAACCACGCTTCTCAAACCTTTTCAAAGAGCTTCTAGCATTGGCTCTGGCTCCTAATCCAATCGCGTAATATTTATAAAATCGCCATCCTCACCTTAAAATTTTTAATTCAGCAACATCCCACCGCAGATTAAAAAATTTTAAACCGCGGTCCAACGCAGACCTGGAATGCTCTGCAGCCAACGGAGCTGCGAGGTATTAAATCGCAAACAACTGAAAGCGTTTTTGATTGTGCACGTTTCTGATGCAGCTGTGCCATTCCTGCCTTATAAATTGCTATAATATTAATCTTCTTATTTTTCATATTTTTTTGATTTATAATGTAGCATTTGAGTTAATTGGATATAAAAGGAGTAAGACGAGATAACATACATCAATCAGCAGACCAATAAAATCTCAACCCGCAACAACCATTAAACAACTTGCGCCGCTTGGCTGCTACAACACGTATATGTTTACAGACATTTTTATACAAACTACGTTACGTGAGCACACACGGGCACACACATACACGCACGTTTTTGGATCAAATTATGTTAAGATTCGAGCAAAAAATTTAAAAGTAAATTAGCATTGTATATGTAGAGAGACATGCAATGTCTCATGATGAATATGACGAGGAAGATGGTGAACTCATACATTCACACAAGTAAACGCAAACATGAACATCATACAGACGGGCAAATCTAAATGATTGGGAAGAAACATACCCACGCAATCTTTCAATAAACCTAAATTATTGTTGAGCATTATAATATTTCATTCAGACATTCACACATCACATACATTACATTTCATTACACTACATGACATTACATTACATAAACAAATGATAAGATAATTTCATTTCAACAACTTGACACAATGACATATTTGATATGCTTGAGTTCTTCTACATTTGTAACCATTTGTTTGAATGAGCACGTATATTTAATCATTGTATGTGCGTGTCTGTGCGTCCGTTCATATTCACACCAAAATATTTTCAATACGATAAACTGATACATTTATTACTTTATTTAATTAAGTAGCAGATTGTTTAATTTCTAGAAAATTCTATGTTGATAAGGTAGCTTGAATATTTGCAGGGAGGATTTGAATGGTAAAAGAGTTATGTGTCACAGAAACATGATGTCTATTTAAGCTTGGTGCATATTATGTGGGAGTTCATGCATTAAATGTTTAAGTTAAAAATGTTTATAAAATTGTATCCGTTAATGATTGGAATAGTAAGAATATGATTATGTTAATGACAAGCTTTGGTTGGCTAGCATCATAATGCATGCTAGATATAAGAACAAATCATTCTAGCTCTCAAACTTGAAACAGTAGAGTAATAAAATTCCAGGTGAATTTGTTCATGCAGTCAAACCACCACCAGAAGTAGAGGCTCACATTAAATGTCCCTCTTACATTACATATCTCGGTCATTTAACTTTGTGAACACTGCATTACAAGATTAATGTTGTAGTTGCTATTGAAACTCATCTAAAAGAGTGTCCTTCAGATGTTTAAGAATGGATCAGAAGATGAGCAGTTGAGAGGTGGGTTTAGTGAAGTTGGTGGATGGTGGAGCGGGTGGAGAGCAGGAATTGCATGGTTTATTAAAAGTTCTGCTATTATATTCATTATTGTTGATTATTATTTGCATTACTAATAATTTTTATGATACTTACATCAATGATATCAGAGCTAATAAATACTATACATCAGCTATTAGCCATCCTTTGTAAATGAATAAACGAGTAGAACGGAAGATATTTATCTAAAATTGACGGGCTCACACACGTTTAAAAATTTATAAATACGTAAACATATATAGATAGAGGCACACGCGCATGTACAGATACGTGAGTGACGCATAAATATTGCACCTAATATTGCAAACACGCGCACCACACCACGCGCATTCGAATGTACTGACTGACTGGCTGGCAGTGCACTGTGTAATCTACAACAACATCATACTTCATTCTGTTTCATTGCGTTGTATTGTATTGTACATGTACTTTGTATTTGCATGCATTTAAATTTCAGAAATTATTTGATGCCTTGTTCCTTGTGAACTCTCAAATGAGTTCACTTGAAAATTTTTATCAAGACAAGCACATAGGAAGCAGGCAGGCGAGCAATAACAAACCACACGAGCTAACTCGCCATACCGTTTCAATTGTGACGCCATAATTTAATGCACAGCAGTTTATAAGATCTTAATTATGAAATGGTAATTTTTCATGTCGTTGTTGCGTCCGTGTGCGTGTGTGTGGCGATCATAGTAAAAGTTGTGTAATTATTTATCAACGTGTAATGCTAACAATTTATCAGCCGGTGGTATTTCATTCAATAAAATGAAAAAAAAGTGAATGAACGAATAAACAATAAAATGATGAATGAATGAATAAAAGAATGAATAAAGAAAAGAATGAATGAATGAATAAAAAATTAAATAAAAACTTACCCTGATTAAGAACTTTACCATAGCTGGCCAACAAAAGGCTCGAAGCATTAGTTCTTTTAAATTTGTTATACATGGCGTTATTGCTTGCAAAATCAAAAGTAGTTGTTGTTGAAGTTGCAGTAGTAATAGTAGCTGCAGCAGAAGCAGTTGTAATAATAACGGCAGTAGAAGCAGTTGTAGTAATAGTTGCAGTATTTGTAGTAGTTGAACAGCAGACGGTAACGATGATTTTCATGTTCTCCCGGCATGCCTCTTTGGAATTGTGTCCTGACTTATTCTTGTTGGCGTCGGCTGGTGTGGCTGCGTGGTGATGTTGATGATGATGTTGTTGATGATGTTGAAGATGATAATGATGTTGTTGTTGACGATGTTTTTGACGATGTTGTTGACGATTTTGATGTTGTTATACCTTGTCTGAGGGGGCACCTTGTTATTTAATTTAAATATTTAGGAATCGAGCCACGGCCAACGAAAGTTCGGCGGGGGTAAGGGGGTTGGGATTGGTAGGGCAGTTGAAAAGATGTTGGGTAGTATGGTAGGGTGATTGGCAGACGTTACATAGACGAGGATAGTATCATTTATGCAACTGGGGTAACAAGTGAGATGGGTAGAGTAGCCCTAGCAAAGTTGTAACAGAATGGTTCTTGTTTTGTGGGTAGCGGTGCTTCAATTTTGTTGATAGGAGGTGGGTGGTTTGTTTGTGGGATTGTGAGGAAGTGATGATATGGAGGTGTTTAGTCGGTAGTGATGGTGTTGTTGTTTGTGATAGTAATGTTGATCCGAGCAATGATGGTGGTGCAATTATTACTACTGAAAATACCGATGCAATCATTTTAAAGAAGATGTTCTTCTTCAGTTAAGAGAATCAGCATCAGCAACGCTGGACAAAACCTATCCAGACTCAGCAGAAAACATCAACTCAACAAAAGAACAAGCACCAACATCATGAAACCACACAAATTTAAATTAATCCCTACGAAGGATGAATTAAAATTCAAATGAACAGGATATGATTCGGACTCCCGCCTGGCATGAAATATATAATCCCATATACATGGGTGCACACATGTTTTACACACACACAAACAATCACACACATACACACACACACACACACACATTTCAACTAAACTTTACTGTTAACAATTATAAAATTATGATGTTTACCTGACTATAATCAAATTAAGCTCATCTGGCACGTGCAAATCATTTATGAATCTTGCACATGATTGCATTTATTTACGCGAATTCAACATATTAGAGAGTAAAATAAATAGGGAGAGACATGGAGAGGCTGAAGATAGGATGTACGTGCAGTGAATTTTGAAACGTGCACGTGTTCCAATAAATCAGACAATTATGTGTTGGAGGTTCGTGCTTTGAAAATGTTGAAATCTTTCAAACGTAAATAAGTTTATGAATGAGTGAATGAATGAGTGAGTGAATAAATGAGTAATAAACGAACTAACGAATGAATAAACAATGGACAAACGAACGAATGTTTAAATAAATGAAAGCTTGAATAAATGTTGAAAAACCAAAATATGAATGAATGAGTGAGCGTGTGAATGAATGATTGCAAACGCATACACAGATGGCGAATATTGATGGAGGAAGAATGGAAACTGTCCGATGCATGCAAAATAACTTCTGCGCAGATTTTATTACAACTTGCACTGGACTTTTATTGTTCCATATCATTGCTAATTCATCCATCATCTATCTTTCTATCCATTCATGTGGTCAATCATTCATCCATCATTTCTTTCTATCCATCCATCCATCCATCCATCTTCACATTAAATCATTCACTTGTTTGGCCACTCATCAATTCATCCGTCCATCTTTTTATCACTTTTTTTATAATTGACTGGCAAATGAATTACTGACGTTGGGAATATCTGCAATGAGAAACACATGTTCCCTGCCGGTGCAACAACACACACACATATATATATATATATATATATATTTATATTACATTATATATATTATATATATAATAATATTATATATATACAAATATTATATATATATAATATTTGTGTTATGTTATATATATATATAATCTATAAAAATAATCTATAATTATATATATATATATATATATATAACCCGTAAAAACTTTTTAGTCATCGTTATAAATAAGCATACACACACATTCATGTAATTTAACATTCACAAATCCATGAAAATTTGAAATTGATTGGTTTTATATAGAGATAGAGCAACTATAATAATGATATTAATCAAATTACCCCACAACATATTCATAAGTTCGTTCATTTATCTACCTACCTATCCATCTATCAATCCATCCAGCCATCCATCCAGCCATCCATCCAGCCATTCATCCATCCATCCATCCAATCACAGCCCGATAAATATTTTCACTAACATAGAAAAAAGTACTTGCCACCAGCCACAAATTCAGGAACATTTGGAATAGCCAGGAAGGTTTCAAACAGCAACGTGAATCTCTTCTTAACAAAGGGACTGCTACAGTTCAGTATCAAAACCGCTCCGTCCGCATGGCAGGTCGTGTAACTCTTTTCATCAACCTTCATGTGCCAGGTGATCAAAATAATTTTAAAAAATAAATAATATGAAAGTTTGTTTATATAGAGCCATTCGAAGGCGCAGTCATTTTAAAATCATCCACGAAAAGTTCAAAATCGCTTTTTTAATCAATATAATATAAGTAATATCAATATAAGTAAAAAATAATTCATAGTGACAATAACAAGAATATAACAGAATATAAATATATGACAAAGTATAATTCAAAATTCTTCTAGCAAATGGGAAAGATTTTGTTATTTTAAAGGATCAAAGAAAAAAGTTTCAAAGAATGTTATCTCTTTTTCTTTCTCTTTCTCACTCACTCTTTTTCACTTTCTCTCTCTTTCTCGTTTGTATTACTTTCTCAACTTCAAAATAACGTTTGAAATTTTATTATCAGATTATCCAAGATGAACATCAGTTAAACAGATGGTGGGTTAGTGAATAAATGAACAGTGGCCGTGACGTTGGGAGCAGTATTTGCATTATAAGTCAGATTTTATACGTTGTTAAGTTCAACAGAGACCGAAATTTGGTGCGAAAAGCGTAATTTTTGACATATTAGCGAACATTTGATTAATTCTTGGCCACCCACCTCTTGTCACTTTCAAACATTATAAAACGTCAACGTTTTTGATCAACCAAAGTGAATGAATGAAAATTTAATAAATGAAAGAATATACGAAGAAATAAATGAATGGACGAATGAATGAATAAATGAATGTGCATTTTTTGTGCATGCATAAATAAAAATAAGCTGACCTGGTAGATGATGTACCTTTCAAAACGCTTTTGATCACTTTTTAAGTTGTCGTCGTAATAGGGACAGATGAAATCGACCTGATCGAACAAGCGCACCTCCATCGTGTGGCCCCCTCTTTCGGTCCATTTGAAACTGTGGTGAAAATACGTTCTATTCATTTTATTCTAATTTTAGATGAAAAAATGTTAAAATTTTTTGTAAAAATCAATCAATGAGAAATATTATTCAGTTTCGCAAAATTAAAAAAATATTAGCATAATAGAAAAAAAATCAAACATTGGATTGGTAGAGTTCCAATAAATAGATGGCAGTTGTGAGGAATGAACGCAGGGACATATGTTAAGATGTTGAAGAAGTACCAACGCAACGAAACTCAAGGCCTTCATGTCTATCTACTTGTCAGGAACATTCAATTATATGAGGCCTGGTGCAGCTGGCTGGCTGGCAATCATTTCATCATAATAACTTCACATTAATTTTCTTTTCATGTTATATCCGCTCGCTGTACAGATCAACTAATTTAATAATCTCAATCCAAATTGAACTGATCGTTTTACTCACTAAGTCACACATTTGATAATTCTATTCATCAAAATGTCTTATTTTAAGTCAAATAAATAGATGAATAAATAAAATCGAAACCAACAAATGAGAAATAGAGATGACAAAACTCTTTATATAACCAAAATACGTTGTCTTTACAAATCTACTTGTCTATGTTATATATAGAGAGATGTATTGTACACTATACATATATATATGCTACAATAAATACATTAATTGCAATAAACCTGCCAATATATATATATATAAATATATATATAAACATATACAGTGTTGTATAGTAATCGGATTACAAGTAATCCGATTACGTAATCGATTACATTTTTTTGAATCTGTAATCGCATCATTTATAAAAGTAATCTGTAATCTTTAATCAAATTACATTTTTTGTGTAATCTGTAACCTAAACAGGTGTCACGATTACTTTATTTTAGATTACTTTAACGACAACAATACCTAAGATTTTTAAAATTTAAAGTTAAAAAACTAAAAAAAAGACTTATTCAAAAGAAATAGTTTATCCATTGACGTCGTATGCTTTTTAATTAGACCGCCCACGTAATGTTAAAAAGTCGGTCTGCTCAAGAACGTTATGAAGCAGGATAAGCAAAGTTGCTTCTGGTTCAAACTTGTTTGAAATTTCATGAAATTTTAAAAAAATGCAATTTTTTAAATTATTTTATGAATAATTACAATTTAATAATTCAATAATTCATAAAACTATGTGACATTCATTAAATAAAATTCTTATGATGTAATCTGTAATTTCAAAAAGTTTGATGATGTAATCTGTAATCGGACACATTATTGCAAAGTAATCTGTAATCTCAAGATAATTTTAAAAGTAATTTGTAATCAGATTACTTTCCAAAAGTAATCTATACAACACTGAACATATATATAAATAATAAGTGATCTGCTCTGAACACGATATATTTTTATTTTCTACGCATCGCGTTTGACGTTTACAATATTAGGTTTATTTTTGTGCATAGATAAGATAGGTCTACGTAAAATTTTCAACGAGTTTAAATGTTTGGTTAAGTTTACGTATTAAGATCGAAAACTTTTAGGCACTTATTAGCGCGAATAAATTTATGAATCATTTTTGAAAACGAACGTCAAATAGGTCATTTGAAATGAAATAATAATGAAAATGATCAGGTTTAGTTGTCTGATCTTTAACGACGACATCTCCCGCTGAACTCTTAAAACGTTCAACTGATACATCTTGGGCGTCAAAAGAATGAGCATGTTCCGCGTTCCCACATAAAAAGTTAACAGCAATTTTTGATTTGTTTGTTTATATCTTTATAACATATATGGGAGTTTATTTACAAGTCCAAAACAAGTTAATTATGTTTTCACATTTTGTAGATAGAGGACCAAAAATTTGAAGTGGTATTTCAAAATATGGCTTTGTTTTTATGTCAAAGTTAAAACTTTATAAGCTAATCTAAAGATGACTATATTTAATTATGAAAAACTAAAGAGCCATGTATTCAGTGTTCTGTAGGTAACAAAATAAACAAAAAATTTTAAAACTTGTGATAATTTAAATCAGTTAATAATTGTTCTTAAAGAATAAGGCTATTACGACAGAATCTACTTTCAAGTCAAAAATGATATTTGGTAGAATAAAGAGAAAAAATGAGAAAATGAGAGAAACTAAATAAAAAATAGAATTTTTTGTGAACGAAACATGGCACACAATAGCCCATTCGAGGGATGAAATGCCGTTAAGCGGGAAAACAACAATAATTTTAAAAGTTATTTATTGTCCAATTCAATTACTTTCAATTGATTTTTAAATTGAATATACTGAATTGATTTTATTTCTGCTCGACTTTTTGGTTTAAAATTCTCCTTTAGTTCCTTTTTTTGTACACAATTGATTCGGTTTGACAGGGAAACATATTCTGTGAAAGTTGCCAAGCAAGTTTCATATGTACCTACAGGGTTGTTTTATTCGAAGTATCGCTATCGACAATATTCTATTGGCGATATTTTTCAGTATTGGCTGCACTATTGATGCCCAGTATTGAACTTGATACTGCCAATACTTTTTAGATAGAACAAAACTGATACTCGGTACTGATAATTTAAACGTCCATTAGATATATTTTTTAATGACTAGTTCATTTTCAAAGTTAAGCGCATTTTATACTATTGGTATTTGTATTGCTGGCAATATTTTTAGTGTTAGTGTCGACAATATAATTTAAAGCCGGTACTGGTGATCAAATTTTCGATCAGTGCTAACAATTCTGTAAAGTATCTTCTTTGTCAGAGTCAAAAAATATTGTTACAGTAGGAGCAGCCCTAACTGAAGTAGCTGGGTTTGTTTTAGTGCCTGTCTAGGAACAAAACATAAACTGCTTTTTAAGTCATTTGCTTATTTGTTTAAATCAACAGAACTGCATTTTTTAGAAATATCACTGCCCATTCAGATCTGATTAGTTGATTTTAATGTTATTGTTACATTTCTCATCTTGCTTAGATAGAATAGAAAGTTTTTGTTGATTTCTGTTTTACCTTATACCAAAAAGTCATTTACTATTTAGAACAGAGATATTTTTAAAACATTTTTAAACTTCAGATTAAAAATATTTAATAATTCCTAATTAACTAAATTTACAGAATAATCTAGAACTATCGCCATCAATTGATTCCATTGAAAATCGATAAAATGCAATAGAGACGATAGTTCTTAGCCAACATGCAGGTCTCACTCTTTTTCCAGATATAGGATTGCATTTTTTTCATTTTGTAATGATAAGATTAAAATAAAACGAGATGAGTTTGATGCGTTTTATATGAAATTGATGAATAATAATACAAATGTGTTAAATGTTCGTTTACTTAAAAATGCTTTAATTATAAAAAAATATAATTATTTACATCACAATTAAAAGATGTAATAGTAGCAGTAATAGTAGTAGTAGTAATAGTAGTAGCAGCAGCAGTAGCAGTAGTAGAAGCGGTAGTGTTGGTAGTTTTTGTATTAACAAGTAATTAGTGGCAAAAGTGATATTTTGCTAGTAGAAGTAATAGTAGTAGTATTGTTAGTAATAATAGTACAACTACAACTATTAATAGTAGCTGTAGTAGTTATAGTAGTAGTAGTCTTAGAAGCATTTCAATTTTTTTTAAACATTTTCTTGATTTTTTGTGATCTTTTCTTCCTTCTGCCTCTGTTTCAAAATTTAAAATAAAAATAAATAAACCATTCAAACATTAAATTACTACTAATAATAATTGACTATGTCAGAAATGCAATTATTGATGAAAATCACATAATGTTCGGCGTTAGTTAACTTCCAATTTTACTTTTCGATTTTTGTAACGGTTGATCGCAAATTATTTTCAAGTTTCTTTAAGTTCAAAACCAAAATTTTTGTTCGTTTTATGCATGACAAAACAGAAATGCTTTTTACGGTATTCCTATACCATCTTCGGTGTTCAAATTGATATGTTGTGTGGTTGTGCCCAGATTATCAAATTTTTATATTGTGCCTATTTTTTGTACTGTGCCTATTAAATAGGCACAGTATAGAAAATAGGCACAGTATAAAAATATTCTTCGGTGTTCAAATTGATATGTTATGGTTGTGCACAGATGATCAAATAAACTTAATATACGTTATGTGCGCGCGTGTGTATATATATATATATATATATATAGTTGGCTAAAAGGACTCAAACAGGAATTTTCAAAGGGCATCTGTCTGGTGTAAAAACAAAGTCATCCGGAATGCCACAAGGTTCAATACTTGGACCTATTTTGTTCATACTGTATACAGTATGAACAAAATTTTGTTCATACTGTATACAGTATGAACAAAATACATACATACTTTAACGTAATTGATAACTTTGGTTTTTCTTATCATGCATTTGCAGACGCATGGGATCAGATGACGTCAATTTGTTAAATGGTGGTCTTTTTTGTTTCTACTAACCAGAGTAAATGGTAGTTCAGTATTCCTGACAGGGAAGTTTTGTCGGCTCTGTTTTACGATTTTCTTAGCTAACACGCGCAGCCTACGATAGCGTACGATCGGGAACTGTATGTGCCATCGTACAAGTTTTATTTAAGTTGCTTAATTTCAGTTTAAGAGCTTCTATTTTTTATTGTTATTTTCGATAAATTTGATTGTTTCTAACCGTTGTATATTTATCATTTCTTTTATTTCTCTTTTCATGAAATCAAAATTTATTTTAATCCAATTTTCCATCTTTGGAACCTTTTCCAAGCAACTACCCACGTAAATTGAACGTTTACCTAATTGATTATTACTTGTTCAATAGTTCAATAGCAGTTTTTAAAAGTTTAATAAAAAAAACAATATCCTTACTTGTAAAAAATCGTAAGTATTTGAAACAAAATTTTCGTCCTCTGTAGTGAACCCAAATTATTCAATAAAAAATAAAGCAATTCATTTATAACAACAGATCTCGGGCAGTTAAAGTATTTTAGTCACATCATGCGGAAGAAAGAATGGAAAATCTAACAACTACTGGAAAGATTGCATGGAAAAGAGATCGCGGTCAACAACGAATAACATTCGTGGAGTCCTTGTGTCACTTGTTGAATATTACCACATTTCAACTACTACAAAGTGTTAAAGATCGTGTTTTGTAGAAGTCGTGGTCGCCAATGTCCTGAAAGGATAAGCCACTAGAAAGAAAGAAGATACTAAACATTACAGAAACGCAATAATTTATTTTGTAATTTATGTCGTAACGTTGGATCAGGGAATTAAGTCATCTAGCAATTTCTAAGCACCTGGTGCCAGATTTAATGACAGGCTGATTTGTTTGAAAATATTTCTTCGATGGACTAAATGAATGAGCTATTATTGAATGAACGAACAAATGAATGAGTAAGGGAGTGAAAGAAAAACCCAGTGGATGAACGGACAGATGGATGAATGAATGAACGAGCGACAGAGGACAGCTATCTATCTCTTTGGTTCATCAAATTTATGTCTTCCACATGAATCGTCTTTAATTATAAATTAAATTAAACACTTTCAGTTAATAAATGCAACCAAACATGTACGTACAGCTATACAGATATTTATAAATATCTATATAATTCACACCATGTTAATTACGATTAAGTGCGATAGTCATTTTAACTTAATTGCTCGCACTTAATTAATAAAATTTACACAAATTTATTTTTCTACGGGAGGAAGTATATAATTAAAAAACTAGCTATTGTGTGAGTGTTGTGTGTGTGTGGTGTGAAATATTGTATTGTATTGAATAAAACGTTTATTGCAAATCTAAACATAGATAATTAATTAAAAATAAAAAATTCGTCACCGACTAAGAGAATAATTATTTTAAATTTGTATGAATGAATGAATGAATGAATAAATGAATGAATAGAATCCCACAAAAATAAATAATAACTCATTATTTTTACATAAGCTAATGGAAGTTTATTTTAAATTCATCGCGGGGATGAACATTATATGTTGTTGATGTTGATGCGTTGATGTTGTGATGATGACGGTTGCTGTGATGACGATGTTAAGAGGTTTGTTGCTAAAATGATTAATTACGATTATTAGGTTAATGACGATGAGGATTAAAAGATGCGGATGTTTCAAAAGAATAATTACGAGCCTACTACGACAATTAAAGTGAACATCGTTCAGCGTGTATGTGTATCATCAATGCTAACAAAAGTTATTTTCACATGGTACATAATATATATTATATATATATATATATGAATATATAATATATATTATGTACCATGTAAAAATAACTATATATATATATATATACCAAAATATGTATATATATGCCAACATATATATATATATATATATATACATATTTATATACCAATACACTATACGATACCAACTAAGTAACTCACTTAGCTAAAAAACTAACTTTGCTTTGTTTAAAGAAAAAATTGAAATAAGATACGATTTATATATATTATTATTATTGGTGTGTTTGTAAGCGCCCTTTAAAAAGATCTCAGAGGCGCTAACGATTATTGCAGTACGCTGCGATTGGAGAGAATATAGAACGGGTAAGCTTGGACAAAAAGATGCTGTTTCAGCCTCTTACTAAATTGAATAACAGACAACGCACCCTAGGCAAACCATTCCAGACAGCAGGACCAATTTCGGAAAAATTCCTTTACCAAAAGCCAAGTTTGTGTCAGGTAGTAACAGTAAACCTGAATTGTCAGAGCACAATTGTCGTATCTAAGGCCGCCTTAA